GCGGGTGTGTTTGCGGGTGGCTGTGTGTGTGTGTGTGTGTGTGTGTGTGTGTGTGTGTGTCGGCTCAAAGACGGAGCACGAAAATTTTCATGCAGCTGTTTGGGGAGGGAAACTAAAACCAGGCTTAGTAGTGACAGTATCTAATTAACAGCTATGCACTGTATTTCACTTGATTCTATTACCGTGCAAGATTCCAAAATGAAAAGACCAAGTAATTAACTTTGTACATTTTGTGGAAAAAACTAGCATAAAGTACACATATTATGATGTAATGTTGACACCTGTGCTCACAGTAACAAAACAAGAGCAGTACTGGTAAAAACAAATTGTGATTGTTATTATGGGTATGCATCAACATCATATAAAAAATTAAATATAATTGTCTATTCGTTCAAAATATTGTATTTTTAATTATAGTCCCTCAACTGTATGTATTAAAATTTAATTTAAGAGTCTCTCCAGGTACCTTTCAATGTATTATGTCATTTTAAATGACTTCAATTGTTTTTTTTTGGTCACTTCTAATTTGTGGCCAATCAATTTGAATTAGCTAATTATTGTCCTCTTTCCTGTCCTTCTGTAATTAAAATATAATAAAACATTTACTTAGTAAGTCACGCTGGATAAAAAAAAAATCATAGTGTCAATGTTAATTTGTACCTTAGAAAAGGGAAAATTGGAAACATATGTGCATAAATACAAAGTTCATTGCTGGGTCTTTCAGAAAAGGGCAGGTGCAGCTTCAAACATGTCTATAGCTTGAGAGCAAAATTTTCCAGAGAACCTAAAAATAAAACAAAATCACCATACACACTCACATACACTTTTATCAGAATCAAATTCATAACTAACTAAGAGTGACAATCATATATGGCATGTATGGGTTCTTGTATAAGTACAAAACAGAGGAAAAGTTTCACTTTATGGAGGAAAGACAGAAAATAGCAGTCAGAATGCATTAAGTAGTAGTTTTCATATTTTTACATTACATTACATGATTATAAATCATATTGTGTTTAATACTGGACCAACATTTTCAGTTTCATTTGTATTATTATATATTGAGAGCATGTGTGGGTTAAATGGGGTTGGCCCTATTTACTTTTATTTTTTTTAAATAACAGTTCCAAAGAAGTTTCATTAATTTGTTTTTAGAATTGCACAGAGGGCCAGTTGAAACACTTTCATGGGCCATATACTGTATCTTCCAGGGTTGGAGGTTGACCACCCTTGATATAGCATGTTTATAAAGTTAATATAAAAATCCTGTTAGTGACATGAATTAGCTTTGAGAATAAATAATTTAAAAAAAATACATAAGATGCTATTTTATGTTTCTTATTATGTCACTAACTAAACAGGAGCTAGTTAAAAAAAAGTTTAGTCTGTTGGTATTAAAGGATGTAATGTGGAATGTGGAAATTAGTCATTGAGACAGCTGGTGTACTGACACAAAGACATACAGTAAGTAAGCAAGTAAATAAATAAATACATAAACAATAACAAAAACAAAAAAAAACAGCCACGGATGACAGTTTTAAGGATTCAACTCCATAGGTTCCCAAATGTTTTACACCAAGTACCACCTCAAAAACTACTTAGCTCTCCAAGAACTGTAATCATGACTGACATTAAAATACAGTCGCGTAGTAAGACCAAGTGTTCCTCAAAAATGAAAGAGATTTGCCTCCCAAGAAGAATATTTAATATTAGTGAATAAATCACTGTAACATTACAGTTTGAATATAAATACTGCACTTCAATATTGGAAAATCCTCCCTGGCCCATCCCAAAAAAAAGCAGAACTTATAGGGAAGTCAAGTGATAAGTTTTCTTTACAATACCCACTCACCTCCAAGCACAGGATTCTGATTAATATTACGGCTGTGGAACATTAATGAAGCAGCAAAATCCGCAAATTTGTATCCATTCCAGGTGGCGGCCATTTTGTCACTTGCTGTCGACTGAAAATGAGGGGTCAGGTAACAACCAATCACGGCTCACCTGTTTTCTGGGTTTGGTCTTGTGTCGTTTGCAAGTTGACTTCCTCTTTAAATCAAGACTCAATTAAAATTGATTGCACATAAAAATGACATCTAAATACAAATTTACAAACAAACAGTTCTTAATGATTAAATGCAAATCTATTTCACTTAAACGTTCAAAACTACTGAACGGTACTCATGTAGTGATTTTTTGGTTGCCTCCATCAAGAAGAAACCTGCCTACTGCCAGTGGTACTACTACCACACTTTGAGAATCTCTCTTCTCCTAAAAATATTGACTTCAGTTAGCCGATTGCTGCTCAAGATGGCAGATTGATTACATATTGGAGCGAAAAGAGACCAAAACATTAATTTTATCAGTGGTGTTTAAAAAAAAAAAAAAAATCAAGGAGGTAAAAAATATATTGTTTGTAACAATCTATATTAAAGTGCAGGAGCAGAATGGGAACATATGATACGCTTTTGGCTACATGTTAAAAAGAATGTTTGCTTTCTGAAATCAATTTTAAGGCTTGTGGACAAAAAGTGCGTTTCATTTGGAAAATGTCATATTTTAGCTCATAATTTGGCGGCGCGGCAGGTCAGCTCTTCATCATATCCTCACGCTGTCTAGTGGGGATGAATGACGCCATGACTCAGGCACGCAACCTGATTGCATCCTTTGATGCCTCTCCGAAGGGCCGGGGGGAAACCTGCTCTACCTCGGACGTGTCGGATATGTGCCACCCAGGCTGCGGACAAGACACAAATCAGTGTGTTTAGGAGTACACAATGATATCACAGACAGGAAATGGCTGGGAAAAGGCTTGGCACCTCCTGGAATTGGCTACATCCCCATTGGCTCAGTGGAAAAGCTGGAATAATAAACAGGCAATCAGAAGGCGGCGCGAGCGTACACAAAGGCCGTGCAAAACTTTGCAGATGATAAAATCAGATTTTGGGGGCTCAAAGGCGATGATTATTTGTGGTCGTCGTTTGCCCATAAATAGAGGGCCTTGCTAGGAACTATAAACATGAGATCAAACCATTTCAAAGGGTCCTGTTTATGTTTAATCAAGTTGTTATTGATATAAAATATATGTTTATATATCGATATACACATATAGTATCAAATTCAAACTAACGGAATTTATTTGTAGAGAGTGGAATCGTAACGGTGAAATAATCCGTTGTTGCAGACAAGCTGACCGCCGCTGATTTCAGAATACATTTTCCCATATGAAATGACCTGTTCTGGGGTCAATCCCCAGCAATCATAATACTTACACATTATCAACTGAGAATGATTATTATTATATTTTTTAACACAACGTTGAATTTTTTTTTTTTGCCGTTATACAAGCACCCCCCCATAAAAAAAAAAAAAAGAAAAAAAACAGACACTCAGAGTTAATCTCTGAAATGCTGAGATCCCACATGTTATAATAATAATAATATGATAATAATATACATGCAAGCGATGCGGCCTCCACGTTACAGAATGCTAGTTGTCAGGGAGACCTTCAGTGTACTTACGCATATACTGGTTAAAAAAAAAACCATACGAATTATATTGAAAGATTCTAATAACCTGTTGACTTAATTAGCTGATTGCAACTCAAGTTTGAATATCAAATCAAGGTCTTGGAGAAAGAAAACATTAACACTGACTGAGGTGTATATTTTCTAAAAAGTGGAATGAAATATATTTTTACAGGTGTCTGGCTTAAACGAGAATATACACTTGGATATGTCTTGGCTGCATGTTAAGACTTGTGGTTGCTTTTTTTCAATCAGTTTGACATGTAATGCTGTGATGTGTGATAATCCCACCCAGCCTACCACCCTTCGTCGTTTTGAAATTGGTGCTGTAAAATAGCAAATAAGAGCAAACAAACAAGCAAAATGAATTGATCCTGGCATAATTAGTGTTGCAAAAAAGAAATAAGAGGCCAAAAACAAAGCAAAACATTCTCAGAGTTAAACCGGCTCAATATTTTAATATAAAACACACACGCACACACGCACACACGCACACACACACACACACACACACACACACACACACACACACACACACACACACAAAACGCTT